TAAAATAAAATCATTCTGCAAAAATTCCAAAACTCAGTTTTCCAAATAAGGTGAAAATCCAACTCAACATTCACAAGTTACAGTACATGAATTTGCATAAAGGGTATGCAGAAAGATGAAAACCTGCATGTCAATTACAAGGAGAGCTATGTGCTTCCATTTGTCTGCCATGCCTACTCTCTGAAAATCTTAGATTATCTGGTTTCGAACTTTACCTGTTAAAAGTTTATATCGCTGAGCTTTTAACTGTTAAATCAAATCTTTCAACTTTGTTTAGGTTCAAGTATGATGAAAGTCAAAACCCAAATAGCTGATGACTAACAGAACAAAGTGTTTTCGGCTTCTTGGCCTAATCGTTTAAAAACAAACAAACAAACAAACGAGCAAACAGACAAAGTGAATTTGGTCTGCTTTTCAAAGTGCCCGAAAATTTTTAAAAAAATTAAAATAAAAATTTGTGGTTAAATTTATGGTTATGGGCAGGATATGAAACATATTAAGGCCTTCTATAATTTGGTTTCGTGGGTTCAGTATCAAGAGAGGGATGATCCGACTGATATCCAATTTTCTTGGCCCATTATGTTGTCTCTCCCAATCTTAACCCAATGGCCCACTTTTTTTCTTTTTCTTTTTTCTCGATTTAGAAGTTACGTGAGGAAAGCATTCAGCTCCACGGATAACGTAATGAACGGTGATCATGTTTTATGGATAAGATAATAAATAAGATAATATAATAATTATTTTATATTATAGTTCTGTTCATTTCTTAAAAAGTACTTTTAAAAAATTATTTTTAAAAATTATTTGTATTTTCTGAATTGATATAAATTTTTTATTGTTTGAATGAGTTAATAAAATTTTTTTTTGTTGTTTGGTTATTTTTTGAAAATTTTATTTTTTAAATAATATTAATATAACTATTAAAATATTAAAATTTATTTATTATTAAAGTATAATAAAAATTATTTGTTATTAAAATTATTAATATTTAAATATAATTATATTTTAATAATAATATTTACTATTAAAATATTATGTTGATATAAAATACTTAAAATAAAACTATTTATTATTTTTATATTATTTTATTAATATATTAATATATTATTTATTAATAATGCTTATTAATACATTATAATATTTTTATTAATAATATTTATTAATATATTTTTACTAATATAATATAATCTATTTATTAATATAATATTATTTTATAAATAATATTATTTATTAATATATTATATAAGTAGTATATTATTTATTAATATAATATTAATTATAAATAAAATTATAAATAGTTTTTTTCATAAATTATTTTTTTTTCAAAAAAATTTCCTCTTTTCAAGTCCGTAAAATAATTTTTAAAAAAATGACTTTATTTTTTGTTGATTAGTAAGTCATTTTCTATTGATCAGTCAATTTTTTGCTAAACAAACACTTAAAAATATAAAAATTATTTTTCGAAAGTCATTTTTCGTCAAACAAGCAGAGTCTATGTTTGATTTGTATATAATTAAAATGGATAGGATTATAAAAAGAATTATTAACTTCTTGGTATAAAATGATTTAATCATTCAAAAATTGATATAATTATTTTTAATTTATGGGATTAAATTTACATGTCTTATTATATCCTTAAAAATTCTATCAATAATTTAAATTGTATAAATTTTGAAGAATGATACTTTTGATTAATAAATAATTTATCTTGTTTTAATTCTTGCATACATTAAGCATAAGATTAAATGATATTATTTAATCTAATTTTATTTATAATATTATTTTATTCTATCATATCATAATATTATATACTAAACATAATTTTTAATTACTAAACTCGCTTATGAAATTTAAAAATTTTATTTTTTATGTATAAAAAATAATTTTTCTATCTCAATCACATATTAATTAAACTAATATAACATGTTCTTTGACAGAAAAAAATGATAAAAAAAAATTGTTAATCCCATGAAAAGTTTTATAACCATTTTTTATTTTACAATTTAACCGCTAATTAAACTCATAAGATTTTTATTTTTATCTCTTTCCATATCTTTTACCGAGCAAAAGCCTAACAGTTTTACCGTTTTAACTTATTGCAGACTTAATTATGTCAATTAATTTACGCTAATTGTTTTGTTGTTAGCATTAAAAAACGAATAAAGATAAATCATTGTAAAATGCAAATAGATAGTTGTGAAGATATATTAGTTTAGTAGTGGATCATTATTGTTTATCATTAATGATTTTGGACCTTAATTTTTTACTTGTAACTTTGGTCGCATTTTTCTGCATCAAAATGGCATGGTATGTTTCACGTTAGGGTTACAACCATATTCACACTTTTAAAATTTTTAGACCACTACTTTTTTCCCACTTAATTAAGTAGGGCCAAATTTTTTTATAATTTTCAACTAAAGCTAAGTTTTCTAAAAGTCTTTTGAAACGTTTTTATATTGGTTTTTCATCAGATCATTTTTCAATATATAAACTACTAATGCTGGTGGTGGTGGTGATGCAAGAAATAACGTCAGGATTACGAGGGCGGCACCTGTCGGAGTGAGAAGGAAATGGAGGGGTGGTCCATGGTCACACTTTGATTGAGTTTAATCTCAAAAAATGGTCTCGAAAGACCCACAAGACATGGGGTCCATTTTGGCATATTCAGGTCAGCTTCACCACATTAGTGGTCTGGCGCTGCCATTAGCAATGAGCCATGGCCACCAACAGCAGTTGCTCATTTGTCAAGCTTTCCTTTCCAGTTAGATATACGGCTAAGAAACAAATATGGATTTGCTATAATGAGTACTCATGGAAAGTTCCCCTCTTGCAACCCAAACCAACCAAAAAAAAGGAATGTTTCAAACCTTTTATTACTTTTTCTTCCACAAAAATCATTCACTCATGTTACATGGATAAGATTCAAACTATATATAATGCATTACTTTAATTAATAAATCGTTTGAATATATAAGATCAAAAATTCGAATTTAATTTTTTAAATGTATTAATCATTAAATTAAATATTCTAATAAATTTTTTTTAACTTTTCTTCTGATAATGAAGCTGGAAGATATAATTATAGGATTGTATTTAACAGTTATAGAATAATGATAATTATAATATAGTACCTAACTAGCCAAGATGCCTTAAACCGAGACCATTATGAAAAGAGAGAATAAAAAAAAATGAAAAAAGAGAGAGAGAGAGAGAGAGAGAGAGAGAGAGAAAAGCTAGAACATATCAATGGTACATATGGATTGTACTCTCATTGTCAAATGCCTCATTATTGTTAGTTGTAAAGTTAATTAAAGTTTGTGAATGGGGGGGGGGGGGGGGGGGTCATGCCAATGTTCAATGTTGAAGCCTAAGGGGATATTTGCTTTGGTTTTCTTTTTCATCACCATGGTTGCACTCTCAGCATTATTTGGATATATTGGATATAGCTCTTATTTCATATAAAGATCCAAAAGTTAATTAAAGATAGAGAAAAGTAGATATTGAGTTAAAGGTGGATAAGTAAAATCAAATGAGTTTCACATTCTATATTTAAATATTTCAATTACTCAAAGAACTATCAGAATAATATGCTTGTAATACCTTGGATGTTAGAAAATTTAGGTAAAAGGAAATTACTCTATTTCAAAATGAGAACATGTTTGAGGTCTCAATAAGAACTTATATTAAATTTATAAATCATTCATAAAAAAAAAAAAATTGTTGGAAGTGAGAATTAATTGAAATTAAACCTTAAAAAGCAAATTGTATTTTTTTTCTTAAATTAAAATATAAAGTATTTGATCTTCACCAACTCAATCTCCAATCTTTGACAAAAAAAAAATCCTTAATTAATTACTATATAACCTAGCTAGTTATTAAACGAAAAAAATAAATAAAAATAAAAATTCAGTATTTATGATATATATCCCTTTTATAGATTATGTGGAGTACTAATACGATTGCATGCATTAAGTTTTTTCTTTCAAGTTTGAATGCAATTAATTTATCTTTGGTACAGCCATAAATATAGCACATTAGTTTAATTATGCAGAGGGCAGTATGTGCAGCAAATTGATAATAATAATAGAGAGGTCATAGTGCGATCAGAATTGTAGTACAATTATGATAAGCAGAGATCAACTGGGATGTGAAATTGGATAACTTACCTCATATGGCAACGGGTGAATGAACAGAATGAAGCAAAAGAAAATGCTAAGAAAAAATATATAATGAATAATATGACTTTTGAGGGTTTTCTTTTTTAATTATTTCAATCGTTATGAAACCAACTTGATTTTTCATTCTTTAATTGCTATTCAAAACAAAGGCAAAAGCTTATATTTGAAGTTGGAACTTGTTGCCTTACCGACAAAGGGTGGATGTCAAATCAGCTTTGCGGATACATGCACCAAGTGTTTCCCACACGGCTGCATGAGAGAGACAAGTTAATTAGCTATATAGGAATATGTACGTTTTTCTTTTCTTTTAGCTTCTGTTCTTCCTTGATACTACCGGCCACAATACATAAAATCAAATCTTTGTACGTATAATACTTTTGTAGAACTGAAGCTATTGTTTCATGTATGGCTAATGAAAATTATGAAACTTAACTCTCTTCCATGCATGTTCAAAATATACCATACCACTTTTCAATATATAAATATATATATTTAATTATATATACACTATACCATGAACATGTTTAATTTTGGATGGCGTATATGTATTTTCATTAGCCTTATCTGTAAAGGGAGATTAGGTTTTTAATCATTTTCAATGTAGTTGAAAGATTTTTTTATTAAACTACAGTACAAAGATAAAAAAAATTATAAATGTTGAAATTTGAATTTCAAATTCTTTTGATATCACTTTTTAAAAATAATATCATAAATCAATTGAATTAAAATTTTAATTTGAGATATCTTTTTTAAGCTTTTAAAAGATGAATACTTAAAAAAAAAAAGTTAAAAAAGGGAAAGAGAGGAAGGGAAAGGGGAGAAGCTTTTTTTTTTTTTTTCTCTCTCAGCAAGAGGAGAAAGCTATTTGTACATTTGTAAGAGTCAAGATTCTTTCTTCAAGAATAAAAGAAGAAAGAATGGTACTTCTTTCCCAACAAGTTTTTTTTTTTTTTTTTCCTTTTGAGATGAACAAAAATAGAAGTGAACTTGTTATAGATGAGCTCTATGCCATAGCTCAAAGGAAATTAAAACTAAAATACAAGCTATCCTAAATTAATAAAAAAGGTACAAGAACAATAATTAATATAGCCACTTTCATGTGGTATAGCTAAAAAAGAATGCAATAGCATCATGAGCAATCAGCCTTAATATAATCAGCAGAGTGACTGCTCATGATGTTATATTCATTCCATTCCCATATATCCCATTCAAAGCTTTAGCTAGCAGAGCATGATGCTGCAATCAAACGCCAATTGCCTCCCTAAAACCCGCCGCCGAAAGCCGGTGCCCAGTAATCAGCACCATTATCACTTCCAACTTGTTGGGTGCAAGAAACAGGAACCAAGCACAGCCCTCTACTCCTCAAGTCCTTAGACTCATCCTGGTTATCCTGAAATTATTAGCAGGAAAAGAAAGACGGTATGAGGGCAATGATTTTCATATCTCATTTATGTTTGTATATAGATGTGAATGGATAATGGTGGTCTTTAATTTAAAAGGGTAATCCTCCTTTTCAAAATAAAGTTATAATAATAGCAGTAATGATGAGGTTGATAATGATGATGAACAATTAATCAAATGAGTGAAAGAGATGTGTCATATCAAGAAAGGGTTCCTGGTTAAGGAGCCTCCCTTTGCTTTTTTCTGGTAGGTGTCATTCAACAGCTAATTTTAAAAACGATGGAAATGGAAAAGGGAAGGGGAAAAAGCATTAGAACTATTTCTATCTTCAACTCTTTCCTTTTTTAAATTACATAAACTAATCTTATGCAGTTCCCAATTATGCTTTTGATTAACTTTTATTCACTTATAAAAGTGTTTTAAAGCTGAGAACCTTGTTCTTTCAATGCTTTCCTTTATGAATAAAATACTACTAGTTAAAAACAGATGCTTTCCCATGTACAAATCCAGCTCCACCCCCCCTACTTTGCTTTTGTAAGTTGATGGATCCAATAAAGTATACCTGTCCTTTCTCTTGAGGAAATGCACAATTACTTTCTCCTTGAACCTAAAAAATTAAAATCAAAATTACCCATCAATTAATTCTATCCTAATATTTACAATTAAATATATATATATATATATAGATGATGGTGTTGCATTGGGAAATGAGATTATGGATATGTATGGGTACTTACAGATTGTTGGTTTCTCAGGTTTGGAGATGCAGTACCCAAGTAAGGGGAGCTAAGAGCCTGCGTTTAAAGTGGGGAAAAGAGACTAAAATTTGTTTTTATCACTTCCATAACTAAAGATGATATTGTTACGAAAAAGAAAAAGCATGAATTATTGAAACTTTAATCTGCATCTGAGCTCCATGCTAGCATAGAGAGTATAAAAATGTGGAAGAAACATCACCTCAATTTGACTCTGAAGGAATCTGATATATCCAAGAGCTTCTAACAAGACTGAAGCAGTGTCAGTCTGCAAAAGTGCAAACAAACACAAGTGAAAGCCGGACGAAAAAAGATAAACAAAAAAAGAGTGAGAGGGAAAGCCCTTGAACCTTGTTCAGTGCACTACACATCCATATAAAATAAATAAATAAAGAAGCAATCTCTTTATGGATTTTATCATAGAATAAAACTGCTTCTGTAATCTGTATTATTTGTGTTCAGTTTTTGTGGCCTAGCTGATGAAGAACGTAAGAGAATTTTTTGGTGTACCTTTCCAAATGGGGAAACTAGCTGGTGCAGTGCTGTTATTCTATCTCCTAGCTTCTCCTTTCTCACCTGAAAGGATTTAGCTTAAAACTGATAAATAAATGTAAATAATTTTTTTTGGTTTTTTTATCCTTTGTTTTGATAAATGGCAAGATAGTAATAGCTGAAAAGAACAAGACGTGCTTGAAAATAGACAATCAAGAACAACATACTGATATTCATCCACAGACACGAATGCACAAGCACACAGAATTAAAGAGAAAGAGAGAGAAACATTCTTCTTGTGTCTACCTTTAAAGGTGATTGGCTTGAAGACGGCAGAACCCTAGCTTTCTTGCACACCCCACCTGTGGCTGTGCTATTAAACTGCCAAAACAAAAGCAAAGAATAAAATGAGACAATCGAGAAAAAAATAAAAGAACTTTTATGATCTGTATATTTTGATAGATTAACCCAAATAAATTCAAGGCAAAAAAAAAAAAAAAAGAATAGAAAAGTGTGGGTGATGTGGGGAGGGTTAATGTTAGTTTTTCTCTTTTTTACCTCAGAAGAATGATCTAGGGGTTGGGTTTTCGACCCATCTGCCTCCTTGTTGTGATAGAAGTCAAACATATTACTACTTAATAAGCTAGTAATACTAGACCTAGGGGAAGAAACTGGAGTGATTTGAGACCAAGCAGCAGCGGGCCTAGATGCTTGAAATTCATGATCGCCATGACCGTACAAGTTGCTATTTTGAGTAACCTCTTGCTTGACGTCGATAACAGGAACCCTCGGTGATGGATTTAGGATTTGGTTTTCCCAAATTTCCAACTTTTTCTGCTGAAAATGACTTGGACCAAACCTCTCTTCTTCGCCGGATAATCCACCCCTAACCACCAAATAAGAACCCCCATAACCATAGTTATTAGTATATTGCATTATAATTTATGTACAAGAAAAAATGCTATCTTAAGATAACCGAAAGAAGCAATAAAAAAGCACAAATAAAGAAATAGGTTTAAGGACAGATCAGATAGAAGCAAGATTTACGGATGAACAAGCCCATGAAAGAAGGTTATAGAGAAAGCAGAACTATAATGAAAAAAGTAGAGATGAAGTCGAGAAAGTTCACAAGAGTAATTGGCTCCATGACTGTGGAAGCTCTTGGTTATGATCAGGCAAAGGATTAGGAGGAAGAGTAGAAGATCCAAGAGTATGTTGAGGAGGGAAGAGAGAAGGGGATGTAGTTAACAAAGCAGAAGGCTGTTGATAAGGTGGATGCATGCTCCACCAGCTAGGGTTTCCTGCCATCATTTGTTGCTTGCACTGAACTGATGATGAGCTAGCTACTTCAAATATTTCATATGCCTCTGATCCTTCAAGAAAGAAGTTCCCTAAAGAAAAATCTCTCTTCCTTTCCTTGCCTTTTCCCTTTCACTTTGTCTCTTCACTTTGCTAAGTATCCTTGTTTATGCACCCAACCAAACAGGACTTCACTTTGCTAAAAGCTTTGTCAAGAGAGTTCCCTTTTTGCTTTCTCAGATGTGGCTAAACAAACTTTGGGTCTATGCCATTGAAAGAATTTTTATATTTGCATTTGTTTCATTCTTCTTTCATTTGTTTAGCATTCTTTTTTATTCTGTGCTTTTGCTTTATTGTAAAGTGAGGCAGAAAAGCTGGTGGGCAGTGCTTTCAGTCCCTAAACTATTGGTCTCTACGACCTTACATCCTTACCTTGGGATTTTTTTTTTATCTTTAGGGTTTTAGGGTAAATGATGTTTTATAATTTGACATTATCATGCTTTCTCTATTATTGTGCAATTATTCAACTCCACCAAACAAAATTAATGATTGGAATCGAAGTTGATTTATGCGTCCTTCTCAAAATCAAACAAGATATATATATTTTTTATTTTCAAATTATTATTTTTTTATAAAAATAAAATTACTATTTTACTATATACATATATAATCTAAGTTAACCCTAACATACTCTAAAATTATGCTCCATATTTTTTGAACTGTCACACCAGTAATTGGCGCCATGTTTCTCTTGTTTTATTGAAATGGAATTTTATTTAGGGCAGCTTGGTTGAATTTTCGCACATGCATGCTTCCAAATGAAAATGGGATGCATGGCTTATTCTAGCTATATGGTCATCAACACATTTTCAACATTTACAATTTAGTCTGACAGTCCGCACATGATTAGCTTAATTTCCCATTTTTTATAAGGAGTTTTATCCAATAATAATAGAACAAAATTTCACGATATGAGGATTGACACGTGTCAATTAACCATTTTTATGATATATTTAAAAATAATTAATTATTAAATAAAAATGTGACAATTGTATATAAACTCTTTTATAAAACTAAAAGAATTCTACCGTTAATGCATAACATTTTTTATAATACAAATTACGTTATGTTTGAATAAATATTAATAAAAGAAAAAAAAAAAGAAAAGAATAAAAAAAAGTTTTTTAAAGAAAAGAAAATGATATATGTAACCTTTATTTAGATAATTAAAATTAATAAAGGAAAGAAAATAAATTCTAACAACTATTGTTTGCATAAAGAATGAAAAAGAAAGAAAATGATTCATTATAATAATTTTTTTCAATTATAACATTTCATTGCTTGTGATTTTTTAGTACTTCTAGATCATAATATGTTTGTTATATTGTTTGACCTCACAATTGCTACTATATCAATGATTTTTAATTAAGTAAAATAAGAAAATATTTAAAAAACATGCATTGATGGATTTTGAATTAATCTGTCATCTCATAAACTCAAAAATATATTTATTCATATTCAATCATTAATCAAAATCAAATCACCAAAAAATTACAAAAAATTTTTATATTGGAAGAGATATATGAAACTTACTTAAAAAAAAGATAGCTTTGAAAAAATTATAGGATGATTATGATCTGCTTAGGTTTTTTATTAAATTTTTAATATTAATAAAAGATGGACATAATAATTTTTTTACAAAAAAGATATTTTTTAACTTTTTTTTCCTTAGCTTTTTCTCCAAATTGAAATATTAAAAAAATTAACTTTACAAGAAAAATAAAAAATTATTTGATTTTCACCTTTTTTTTTTTAAATTAAAAATTTATCCAAACAAAGTAAATGAGGTTTTGTTTCCTTTACATTATTTTATTTTATTTTACTTTTCTTTTCTTCCTTTTCCCTCTACTGTTAGATTTTTAGAATTTTTTTTGAGAAGTAAAAAGGATCAAAATGATTAAAACTTGCAAATCTTTAATTACTTGAGGCAAAATCATCTTTTATCATGATCAGATATAGAGAAGGAAGCTGCCTGCCCTCTCTTCGTATGAAGCCATTGAATTTAAAAAAGAAAAAGAGGTTAGCATAAGCTTAATTATAATCACTTTGAATGATCGAATATCAAATCAAAAGAGAAGTATAACCGTGCAAGTGAGCCCTTGGGGGCATAGCAAAAGCCAGAAAGAGGAGACCGATTTGATTGTCGGATTTAATGTTTGAGACCACAAACTTCTTTTTTAGAGATGGGAAAGAAAAACGCTTTTTGGGTTCAGTTGATTTAAGATGGATGCAGATACAGATACAGATACAGATACAGATACAGATACAGATACATTACTGAAAGAAAAAAAATCTATAGGGAACTGACAATTTTTTGACTAAAGACAACATTTGCGATGCTCTAAACTGTACAAGACAGATTTTTAGGACTGACCCAAGATCAAGGAGGCCCGCCAATTAAATGCAAAATATTCAAGACAACTAGCCTAGCCTAGTTAGTTCTACTAACTGAATATATAGCTCTGGTCTCAGCATTTCGAATTTTGAAGAATATCAGGCTTCATTTGGATTTCACTGCGTTGGAAATGCACCGCAGAATGTGTTAGGTGTTCATTTTTGCGATACAGTTGAGGCCGAAACCTCCGTTACCTGTCCAATCCAAATCACAGAGAGAAGAGTTTAGTAAATCATTGGATTTAGGGCAGTCAATTACCTTGTCTAGCTAGAACAGTTTATTGTCTTATTATAAAATTAAAATAAATAAAAAGTTTTCAATTATGGTAATCAATTTTTTTTATGAAGAATTCATTTCATTCTCAATTTTATCATTATTATCTTTTTTGCATTCAAGTATATTTTTTATCGTTAATTTTAATTACATTATTTCAATATTCAATTTTATTATTATAATAATTAATTTAACGATCAAAATTATTTTAAATTTCACTAAAATTATCCTCTTCGACTGTCCAAATGATCCTTAAACTGCGAAATCATGCCGGCGGCAGACACGGTATATGATGCAGCTAGCAAGAGAGAAATATGACGGGTTTTCCAGTAAAGTACATTTCCCAGTAATTTTCAGTGCTTTACCAATACAATGTTTTTTTTTTTTTGCTGCTTTGATTGATTCACTTTCGGACGCAGTTCCCAAATTTAAAACCGTACAATCAGTTAACATTGCAGATAAATAAAATTGTAATGGATTCTAATCATATTTTTGTAATTTTGAAGAAAAAACTAAGATTGCCAATTATACTCACATACATTCAAATGTGAACGCTGGCTTAAACAGTTGTCTTCAACTTTGACAGGGGGCATATGCATGGTTTTAAATAATATATGTATGGTTATATTCCCAAATCTTACCAAAAAAATTGGACATTTTTGCTTGAATAATTATGTAAAATGTGTTATGATGACTTTGGTGAAAGCAATGCTTGCATAATTCACGGTTGGTGTAGTGTGGAAAACATGTCAGCTGTTTCTTTCCTCATATCTTCATAGTAAAATAACTAAAGATATTCTCCATTTTTTTTTCTTTTTCAATTTTATTCAATTTATTATCTTCATAGTAATGTAAAAAGATATAGTAAGAGGGGATTTTTTTTCTGCTACTGATTTTTTTAATGAAATTGTGGGAATGTCATTTTCAAAACTGTGCTGGTTTTGAAATTACTTTGTTGAATCAAATGGAAAGACAGGGAAAACCCAACCATCAGATCAGATATATAATGGAGCTCTGTCGTGCGTCGATTGCCCCTTTGGATAAAAAGCACCATGAATTTATGTTTTGCTTAAAGATTAAAACACAAAAACATTAGCATTTCATTTGTTACCTAAATAGATAAGTGGAGTTGGTAACTAAGACTGAACATTTTTCTTATCAATAAATATTTTATCTTTGTAAAAAAATATTTTGAGAATAAAATTTTAAATATATCAAAACCAAATGAAAACACATTTAACTGTTTTTCCAAGAAAAAAGCATTCATTATTACAAAGCTACTTCTAAAAGTTTAAACAAAAAAAAAAGGTGAATCACATTGCTGCCGCAATTCGTATAGGACTTGAGTTAGATTGAATATGGAAGCGTACGACCAAAGCGCTCTCTGACCCACACCTGCTATGCTGCTGAGCCTCTCCCTTTTGCTCAATGGCAGCTGCCATGCCACGCCATGCCTTTACCACCAGAGATCGTGGGCTACCTCTATCCTCCACAAGGACCTTATTTAGGAATTCGAGTTGTTAAAAGCATAGATACACGCACAAAGGAAAAATCAATTTACACGATATAAAACTTACTTTTTTTAATTATTAATTTCAATAAATTAAAAAAATGAAATGAAATTATTTTTTTTAATTTTTACTTGTCTTTCTAATTACTTGAATCAATTAAAATCAAAGATTAAAAAAAATTTACATTGTATAAGTTAATCCATCCTTTATATAATATATAGCTAAAGATCTATTTATATCAATGTATGGGTTACACATTTTTTTTTTTTGGATCAAAATGACTAAGTACCATATGTAAAAAAATTTTACCTCTTCCACTAGTTTAGGACAATATCTCATAGCAATAAAACCAAAAATGCAAGACAAGTTTCCCAAGAATCTCTCTTTCACGAGTTGAAAAAAAAAAAAAAAACATCGTTATTAATGTGAAAGTTGACAAAGAATGATTAATTCCCCCACTCATTTGGGGTACAAATGTTATAAAGCAAAAAGCTTCGCTTTCTAAAATGATTTGTATGCCGCACCAGCCATTTTGCTATACAGATTTCTAAAGTGTACGACGCTCTTGTCCTCCCCTTTTTTACTTCTCTTATGAAAGTTACACACTGTGAATTTTATGGTCAACAACACTCTTGTCCTCCTCCTTTTTTCCTTCTCCTATGAAAGTTACTCACTGTGAGTTTTATGGTCAACAACACTGCCATGCTGCTGCATCGCCACAACAGGCTAATTGCATCTGGAACACCGGAATGACGGAGCCATAGCACATCGTGTTCCAAGGCAATAATAGCAATACCTGTGAATAGGGAATTGTAAACAACTATAAGCAAGCAACACTTGAAAATTATTCTTGAACACTGCACTGGAGCTGTGCAAAATACATTTCATGCATGAAATCATCTATAAAGGGTAGTATTCAATAAATTACCAAGATACATGGTGACATTACCAAGATACATGGTGACACGTACATGTCAGTCTTTTTGTCATCCCAAAATTCATTAAACATATTTCAAGCCAAATCATTCACAGTGTAGTGCAATATGGGCCTCATCTTTTTTGAAAATTAGGCCCCATAAATTTTGGACAGGCTGTGGAAAGTGTGCAAAACTATAATTGTTTACAAATTATGACACCCAGCTATATCAGACAAAAACTAGAACCGTGTCCAGGAAATAGGAGAGAATTCAGTT